AGAGAGAGAGAGAGAGAGAGAGGGAGCGAGAGAGAGAGGGAGGGAGAGAGAGAGAGAGAGATCGAGGGAGAGAGAGGGAGAGGTAAAAGGGAAAGCATTAGTTTTGTGTCACGTGAGATGCAAACACATGAGCTTCAGTAATGGAAACAGCCGCTCACTTCTGATGAACCCATAAACACAACAAACTCTGAAACATGAGGGGAAAAGCTGCAGATTGCAGAGCTAAATTAATGAATGCTTTCACATAGTCTCATTTCCTCAAAACCATCACTTAATTTCACCTGTGATCTTGACAAAAATACATTTTTTATGATATTACTTTCTGTATTTCTTGAAAATGTAAAAAAGTACAAGTTTCAAAGCAGGTTTACAGAAAATCATATTGCTAATGTTAATATAGTTTAACATAATCTTGTACTATTTGCCGTGTTTCCCTGTAAAAAATGCATAAAATTCCTTAAAACAAAATCAAATTATTTTAAAACCAGAATTTCACAAGAAAATAAGACTTGTTTTTCAGATAACATTTCTTTAGTTAAAGTTTATTCTTTGTACCTTGGTGAAATAGCGTTTCTGTGAGAATCAAGGTTATGTTACCTGATAACTAATACTTTAATAAGATAAATAAATAAAAATAGAATAAAATAAAAATAAAAAAAATAAAAGGAAATGCATATATTCATGTACTAAAATAACTAAAACTGAAATAAAAACAGCTAATAAACAATGAAAAAATCACACAAAATTACTAAACACAAAAATGCAAAAATAAAACGTATTTCTATGATACTAAAATAACACCAGTGAGATTTCTGCTTAACAAACCAACACAGTAAAACAAATATACATAACTGAAGATATATTCTCTGAAAACAAGGCTAATCATCTCATGCGATTCTGCTTCTCTAGTAAACTGATCCTGTTATTAAGGCTGTTTAAACGCAGCCAGACAAGAGCTACTGATGGAGTAAATGAGTAAAGGCGTCCAGATAACACTGAATCTCAGCAGAGACACTTCACGAGCCGTTTGCTCAATCTGCTGCGGAGTCTGAGCGTAAAACACACTGGATGTTAAAGCAGCGACTGCCGCTCAACAAACACTGTGTTGTCTGATTCCATCAGACTCCTGCGACGACCGGCAGGACATCTGACTGGAAACGAGACGCCGAACGCCGCTGCTGTAAATCCAGACGCAGAGGAAGGAGTTTCACCAAACGGGAGAATGAAACAGGAGAGATTTATCTGGTTGGGCCGAGCTCGTGTCTTACCAATAAAGATGGCAGATGTGAATATTCACAGAAACAGGTGACGAGAGGTTTGCATTGGAATCCCTGCAGCTTTATTATAGTGAAATACACTGAGGATTCTCAGCTAATAAACAGCACAAACCGGGACAAGTTCAGAGCTGGTGCATGATTTATGCATCATAACCGATCACTTCACAATCATGCAACAGCACTGAACTTGTCACGGTTTGTGTTGTTTATTATTTTATATATATATATGTGACCCTGGACCACAAAACCAGTCATAAGGGTTTATAAGGGTTTTCATAAGGGTAAGATGTATACATCAAATAAGCTTTCCATTGATGTATGGTTTGTTAGGATAGGACAATATTTGAAAATCTGGAATCTGAGGGTGCAAAAAAATCTAAATATTGAGAAAATCATCTTTAAAGTTGCACTCACACACACACACACACACACTCACTCTCACACACACACACACTCTCACACACATACACACACACACACACACGCACACACAAGTGCTCCCTTCTCCTGCACTGAAATAAAGGATCGCCTTTTCATTAGCGTCAATTTGCATATAAAAAAGAGAGATGGCTGATAATTCTAATTTCCAATTAGACTGGAGTGTTAATAATGCATCTGTGAACAGCTGAAGCTCCGAGCCGAGCGTTTAATGCAACTCTGTCCTCAGTTCACTTTTATTGCCTGCAAATTCAGCTTCTTCAACCACAGCCGGCCGCATTAATGCACCAGACCATACATATATATGATACCATGTTATTTTTGTTTTAAAAGTACATTACTAATGTATGACTATAATCATCAAACATACCAAAAAGTAACTTAGTATTACCACTATTATTACCAATTATATGATTATTATAATTATATTATTATAAGTACCATGGAATTTTTTTATATTTATAAAGATAGACCAGTAAGTTATATATAATACAATTTGTATGTATAGTAAATTATTTATTAAACCCATATTTTATATAGTTTTTATTTTTTTATTTATTTTTTTAAATACATTTTTTTATTTTTTGCACATTTTTACTATGGAAGTAATATTGTTTTTGGTCATGTACCATGCTTCATTAAAATAAATAAATAAATAAATAAATACATTTTTAAAATACAATTATTTAATAATAATAATAATAATAATAATAAATTATTAAAGATTAATAAATTATTTAATAATAATTAATTAATAATATATATTAATACATTAATAAAGATTATTATTATTATTATTATTATGAACACTAATTTATTATGAATATTCATTCTTAAACCTGTGAGTCAGGTTCGCTGGAGGGCATATTGGGTGTGTTTTCTTAAAATGAATAAATATGTTTTTAGAGGAGATTATTTATTAATAAGCATCAATGAAGAATCAAAAGCTCTGCAGATTCTCCACATTCAGCCGCTTGTGTTCGTTTGTTAAACGTTTTTATTTTCTTCAGCTGTTACAGTTTTTTCAGCTGCTTTCACACTAAAATCTTTCCTCGTCACACAGTTTCTGAAAGCTGACTCTCAAACAGCAGAAGCACACACCAAATCTACAAATCTAGCAATTCTTGGATTGTGTGTAAAGTTTTGAAAAAAAGAGGCAAAGTTTTGAAAATGTGTGCGAGTAGCTGAAAAAAACTGTAATAAACCCTGGTTCAGATCCACAGATTCCTGCAGACGATCCTCAAGACCAGCACAGAAAACATGAACTCTAAACCTGTTAATAAGCGTCTGAAAGCAGCAGGCCATAATCTACAGCATCCAGCGCGGTTGTTGTGAGACACTGAAGAAGACAAATAAATGTGGAAGTTCTGAAAGGAAATAATTGGAGGAGGAGGAGCGCGTGAAGCGCTGAAGGTCAGTCCTGTTCTTCTGTGTCACCGGGGAGAACACAAACTGCTGCCTGTAATTGCTGGCGCTCTGCTAATTGGAAGCAATTAAAGATCAGCAGCATGCGACGTGAAGAACGCTGGACACGTTATTTTACAGCAACAAGCCCAAAACACAGCGCACTTGACCCGGAGCAGATCGCAATGATTCATCATCACAGAAGATGTAGAAGTCTTTAGTAATTTACTCAAATCTAAAATCTCAAGTCTTTCAGTAAATTATCTTTATATCATTATTATTACATGTACTTACACACACAAACATGTATATGTATATATATATATATATATATATATATATATATATATCATA